TGAGAAAATTTAAGGCTCTTAGGTGCGCCATATAGTGCGGAAAATACGGTATATAGTTTTTGCTTTTATTTCCCCTTTGACGAGCTTTATAAAAAAACATATTTCAAGGTCTGCTTACTTGCTTTTTTCTGTAGCTTTCAACCTTATCTAATGGTCTTCATGTGCTCAGTGTGAGTGAACAGTCGTGGTTAGTCTCCTCCCTAAACTAAGCAAACTCTTGATGACTGTGAGATGAGATTAAAAGCTAAAAAAAAAATCAAATAAACATTCATGTTCAGTTTTGTTTTTGAAAGAACGTCATGAGCCCAGTTGTTTATTTAGTTTGGCCTGATTTTTTTTAAATGTATCTTTCCCAGAGCAGACTACGACTGAAGTCCTCAGACTGGTGCAGAACACACATTTACATTTTCATTGACAAGCCAACTTTACAACTTTAATATCATGCATATCCTGCAGTTTTCTCCTGAGATGTTTCTGACATTTGTTTTTCCTCTAGTGTCCAGTTTAACCAGTTAATAACCATGTAATAAAATATCTGCCTGTGTCTTTCAGGCCCCCCAGAGATTTGGATTCAAAAGCTTATGTAACCATCGGAGAGAAGGTAATTTTATTTCTCCAGCTCGTTTTTTTGATTTCCTTTCAGCTTTGTGCCTTCTCTAAACCCATTCATGGTTTAGTTTTTTCTCTTGGACTATTACGTAACTCTGTTTACTTTTTTCCTTCCCACAGTGTATTTTGGGTTGAGTAAGATCTCTCACTCTCAGGCTATGGAGGTGGAGTTAATACAAGTTAGCTGTAAAGAATGCCCCGGTGAACATTACAGCCCAGATGAACATTTCTGATTGTGGGGAGACTGGAATGCCTTTTACTGCCCCTCAGGCTGTAAAAATGTTTATTTTAAACTCATCAAATAAGTGGAATTTTCCATTGGCAGAGGTGCCTACTCTTCCTCTGCTCCAGTTGGCCAGAGGTCAAAGTGAATGATCTTTCTTTTCTTTGCTTGAATCATATAAGTTTTTCATCTTGCTGCACTGTGAAGGAGGCCGTGTGTAGTGGCTCACAGTCAGATGGCCAGGCAGGTTACACGTCTTCACTTTCCCTGTCCCTGTGTTAAGTGTCTGTGTCCACCTCTCAGTTGCTCTTGCATTTTTGTGTTTGTCTGGAGCAGAATTTCGAGGTAAAAGCAGATGACCTGGAGCAGATCAGCGAGCTTGGTCGAGGCGCGTACGGCGTGGTGGACAAAATGAGGCATGTGCCCAGTGACCTCATCGTGGCTGTGAAGGTGGGTAAAGGCAGGACCTAGAGACATGCTTTCACACCTCATCTGCTTGGTTCAGTTTATTTAGGCTGATGTCCAACTGCAGGACTGTATGAGCGTAGAAGTGTGACTTTAGCTGAGCTTTTGAATTTGTGTTAAAGAGCATAGTTCAGGTAGACCATGTATGTAGAGTTGTAGGTTTGGGCAAATTGAGTCTTTCTGTTCATGATCATTACATTTCCCGCCACACTTTCTGCAGATTACTTCTGAGACGGCCGACCTGCACACACAGGATAAACACACAGCATGTTTAGGATCTGTATACAGGTTACCAGGGAACTGGAGGCTGCTCCCAAAGCTTCAGCTGCTGTTTCTTCATGCTAGATGTTGAAGTCTGCTTTGGATCGTCCTGTCATAGAAGCCAGCCTCTTTTCACTTTCACTGTCTTGATTGATTTGCATCCACAGATCTTAAAGAAAACAGTCTTCACTCTTCAAATTGAGTGACTGTTAATTCAAATGAGCTTGTAGGAAATGAAGCGCTAAAGAGACAACATACTGATCCCAGAGAGGCGCTTAGCTGAAGGCTACATCAGAGGAAGTAAAATAAAGTTGTTTATATTCAGTTGTACTGCTTAATTTGAATATAAGCATCTCAGCCCTGCCAGCATAAAACTGTGTTTATATAGGATTATCAGTGTTAACAGATATGTTAAGCAGAAAATGTTCTGCTACTGTGTTTCATTTGTTTTCCCACAGGATCTGTTCCTGCCAACTAAAACATGATTAACATATTTATGGCTTGGTCAGTCAAGTCTAACACTTGGTAAAGGTGTGGACAGTGAACTTGTTAAAATATTGACAGGCACTGGTAACTTTTTAGATATTTAATCAGAGCTTTTCTTCACGTTTCAACCTGTTATGAACACAAAGTGTGTGAAGTTTGACTCTGGCTTGTGTTGAACCTGCACTGTCGTCCTCTCCCAGCGGATTCGGGCCACAGTGAACACTCAGGAGCAGAAGAGGCTGCTCATGGACCTGGACATCTCCATGAGGACGGTGGACTGTTTCTACACGGTCACCTTCTACGGAGCGCTGTTCAGAGAGGTAGTATAATGTTACTGATTTACAGCTGCAGCAATTAGTTGATTCATCAGTTTTGATAATCAATACTTTAAGTCATGTAAAAACCTGCTGATTTGCTTGGTCTTAAAGTAAATTAAATATTTTGAGACATGAGATCCAATCATCCATCCAGTAGTTGTACAGCTTATTCCTGAATAGGGTCGCATGGAGGCTGGAGCCTATCCCGACTGACACTGGGTGAGAGGCTGGGTCCACCCTGGACAGGTCGCCAGTCTGTCACAGGGCTGACATGTAGACAAACAACTACACACACTCCTACGGGCAATTTAGAGTCACCAGGCAACATAAGCTGCATAACCTAAGCTGCATGTCTTTGGACTGTGGGAGGAAGCCAGAGCACCCGGAGAGAACCCACGCAGGCACAGGGAGAACATGCAGACTCCACACAGGAAGGCCTCGGGTCGGCCGGGACTCTGCTGCTGTGCCACCATGACATGAGAGCACCTTGCAAAATAAGCAGAAGCATAAATTTTATTGCCAAGTATTGTCAAAAATACAAAGAATTTGATTCCAACCCGACGGCCCCCGATGTGCACAGCAATAAAACCAGAAACACAAGTAAAAGACCAGAAGACAAAAATATACAACACATGCCTATATACAATTTTACAAAAGAGCTACTAAACATGCTGCAGAAAGATCCAGCTTTTTGGGGGCTGGGGAGCTAAAATTGTGGCTCTTGATTGTAAACTCTTATCACTCAAAGCAGATTTGACATGCTGACTTGAACATGGCCCCGGATGACAATCGGTCCTCAGGACTTCCATGTGAAAATGTGGCTAGAGCAGCAGAAGTTATGTAGAAAATTAGCAACATTATCAAAGCTTTGAGAAATGTGACAGAATAAAAAGGCATGAGAAGTGGCACGAGACATTTATAAAAAGCAGCATCTGAAATATGAAATATATTCTTCGCTGGTGTTAGATGATGCCTGCTGATAACGTCCACATGATCTATAGGTCTGCGTTCATTGTCGACGTGCAGCAGCACAGCAGCGCTCAGCCCACCAGTGTGTATTAATGACAAACAGCCTGATGAAAAGCACCTCTGAAGGTGTTCGGATGCAGATAGGCTCCTGCAGCAGTGACTGGATGTTCAGGATTTCCTCACCGCAACTGAAACACTGGAAAATCTGTCACTTCCTGTCTGTTTGGAATCCGGCGCAGGGCTTTGTTGCTGCTTTTCCTGATCTCTTTCCAAATCTGACTGTCTGTTGCCAGGGCGACGTCTGGATCTGCATGGAGCTGATGGACACCTCTCTCGATAAGTTCTACAAGCAGGTGATCGAGAAGGGCATGACCATCCCCGAGGACATCCTGGGAAAGATCGCTGTCTCAGTGGGTGAACGATAAAATAACGAGCTTCAAACAACAGACTTCCTGTTGATGTTCGGGTCATGTGAGCCTAATGACAGATATTTGTTATGTAACGCTCATGTGCTTATTAATGGGCTTTGTTCTTGCAGATAGTAAAAGCTTTGGAGCATCTGCACAGCAATCTGCAGGTCATACACAGAGGTAAGAGCCCGAGTGGGCTCCAATTATTCTCCATTTAAAGCTGCACTAATCATATTTTAATGTTAGCATTAGGTCATACACTCAGTTGCCAGTTTATTTGGCCGAGCTAAAACTTATCCAGGCAGTGCTGCAGTAAATCCTCCTTCAGGAAGGCGACAGTGTTCGGTGTGTGTTGCGCAGAGGCGCTGGTTCACCTGTGTGATCACCGTGGAGGCTGCAGTTCACCTGCACTGTGTTATACTAACAGGTGTTTCCAATATTTTGACCACCCTATTTATATTGATGAGATGAGGCTGAATAAACAATATTACATGTAGCAGTGAGATATTATCCACAGCTCATGTACGTGTCCAGGGCCTGATGGATTCTTGAGCCATTTAGAAATAAACAGCATAATGAAATAGTAGAAAAAACACTGTCACCAAACTGAAGCTGGCTGAAATTTAAACAAAACATCTGTTTTAGTCAAGAAGCTAAAATTTTATTGGCATTAAAGGCTTAATCCTTCCTGTGTCAAACCTCTGTGGCCCGGCTATGACCACTGTGTGGCTTCTGCGGCATCAAAACTCTATGTAGTCATTGAGAAAGACTAAAATAAAGTCACAGAGTCGGTTTTCACCAGCGACCACGGCGCCAGCCACAAGACTAAGTTGTTCTGTGAAAAGTCACAGTCTGTACTGTCCCAAACTCTCTGTGTCTGGTCATAGATGTGAAGCCCTCCAACGTGCTGATCAATACTCAGGGCCAGGTGAAGATGTGCGACTTTGGCATCAGTGGCTACCTGGTCGACTCCGTGGCTAAAACCATGGACGCTGGCTGCAAACCCTACATGGCGGTAAGCAGGAAGAGGCCTGATGAAAAGATTTAAAGTGCTTATGTCATTCAGTGTGTGTAATTTAACAACTCACAAACCTGAAGCTTCACGTTAATGTCCACAAAAGTCATCTACATTTTATTGTTTACTGGATGTACCTTTTGTTTTTAAATCAGGTCTTTGTAGATGTATCAGAAATGCTCATTTGGCCTCCAAGCCTCTGAGTGTGAAAAGGGTCTCTGGTAGTGATGAACCTACAGGAAGTGATCAGCTGAACCCACAGCTTTGTAGCCCTGCTCATTTAGTGTCCACACCACAACTTTAGACAGTCAGAGACCGGCTGGTGAACAGACTGGAGCATTTAGCAGCTAAAGAGCCAGAGATTTCCCTCTGGAGGTTTCGGAGGCTAAACTGGAGCTAACAGAGAGGGAATGCTGGACTTAGATTATCATGGGCCACACTCTCAAAACTCTCAAACTGCTAAATATATACATTTATAATTGAACCCTCAAGTTAAGACCCAAGAGTTAATTAAGATGTTTGCTATGTGCTCAAAACAAATCGCATATTGCAGTTTTTAAAAATGTATTTTAATAGAAGAAGGCCATCTTGAGATGTTTAAATGAATTATTTTACAATGACCCAGAGAAAACCTGTTTTTCCTTCCTGTGGAAAACTAAACATAATAATTGTAAGTTAAGTTGTAACCAAACCAAAATGTGAACCGTTTCATCTGAAGTTCCAGACAATACATTTGACAGAGTCCACAGGGAAACGGTGACAATAATTTATCATACCACACTGATAAAGCCGGTGGATGTGCGTCAAGCAGATCCTCATCTTTGAGCTGGTTAATAAGCTCAAAGTGAGTGAGTCCAACCAAGATCCAGTTCCTGTATCACACCACACCTTGGGTTGGATTTGACCATGAGTGCAAACTTTGTGCACAAAAAGCCTTTGTTTGAGGTTTGTCAGTAGATGGATGAACAGGTTCTGTCTCCTTATTGTCCGCACACCGAATGTGCCTGGTTAGGTTTTAACCCCATGCTGCTGATTGGCTCAGTGGGTTTTAGGGCCCGGTGGGCGCCCAGGGAACATCACGGTCTGTGTGTGTACCAGAGGTTTAGGATGACAGAGGTGTGTGCTGGTCGTCCTTGACAGCCACTGCCATAAGTGACATCATCTGACTTTTGTGTCCCGCAGCCGGAGAGGATCAACCCTGAGACGAACCAGAAAGGCTACAACGTCAAATCTGACATCTGGAGTTTAGGAATAACAATGGTAAATTACTTCTTTCTATTTGGAATTTGTATTGGTTTAAACCCTGCACACATTTATTCCTTCATTCAGTTTTTCTAAATGTATTTTTAAAAAGTATCTGAAGGGTATAAATGATGCATAATTAAAAAAGAATGTGGTGTTCTGTGAGGCACGGCTCTAGACGAAGCAGTGTCTGTTATGAGCTGCTAAATATTCATAGCTTTCTCATTTGCACATTTTCAACTCAGGCCAGAGAATAGTGAGGCGTCAAGGATTCAGCAGTCTACAGCCGAACCTGGCTCGTCCTGCTCTGGGCTCATTAGGTCAGCTGTTACAGATGAGCACCAAATGTTCCAGCACAAGTCCAATTTGAATAGTAATAAGAGTGCTGAACATTCGGTGGTAGAGAGACCGGTTTTGCATGATAGAGGTGGAAGGAAGAGTTCAGCTCTCATTATGAATCCTGCCGGGTGGAGGGAAGTTATTTTGACTTAATTTGGAGTTATCATCAAACCTGGACGAGACAGAGAGAGCACTCAGTGAGTTGAATAACACACGGTGGGTGACTTGGGGTTGATTTTTGGAGCAGCCATTACTTCTCATGAGCCGTATTCAGGAGACGCCTGGACAGGAGTGTGAAGATAACTGCAAAGGGAAGCAGGTCATGAGACTTCAGTTGGTCTGAAGGGTGGAAACACGAGGCTCATCACCTGTTATCATTAGCATCCTGGGTTCTGCAGTGGCATTCACAGAAAATGCGAATAATTAGTGAAAGCATCACACGTGACACAGGGAAAGCAATTTT